CCATCATCATGGCCACCGTCAAAACTGCATTTGCCGTGAACACCGTGAGGAAAAGTCCACGGGTTTCTCCATTCCCGGTCGTCGGCTCTTCTCCGACTTCCAGTCCGTGGCCCTGCTGACTCAAAGCCGCCAAAAGCAAACATGTCAGTTGTTGTACTCGTTCAGGTCGAAGTCCTTTGATATGTCGAATCTCTTCTTCTTGGGCTCCAACTCGTGGTCCACCAGCGTACTCCAAGTAGCCAGTGAGGCCCAGGAAGAATCTTAATCTCTTGCTGCTGTGACTCTTTGTTCCCAAGTCACTGCTGTTCTCCTTTCCCAGCGCTGGTCGAATTGCTGCTTCTCGCTCTTCAACTTTCTGCTGCGCCCAAAGAAGTCCAGTGCTTATGTGCCGGGTTCTCTGTACTCCTTGTCGTTGGAGTAGAGCTCGAGCAAAGGAACTGTCAATCCTCAGCTCCAAGACCACTTTCATATTTAGCACAGCTCCCAACATCCTTTTGATGTAGATTCCATCTGCCATGCCACTTACTGCTGAAATGAACTCAGCTTCGCAGCTGGACAAAGCTATGCTTTTCTGGCTTCTGCTTGCAAGAAGATGCCGTTGAGATACATGTGACTGCGTGACATAGATCTCCTTGCAGTCCTGTCTGAGGCCCAGTCGCTGTCCGTGAAGACTTTGAGTAGGCTCGGGTGTTGTGTTGCAGCCATCTCCACATCATCACTCCTCTCCCATAGCCGAAGCCATTGCGAAGCTCTGCTTCATCTCCTGCGCAGTGTTTCCCGTGTGCTTCAAGTAGAGCGCCAGCTGTTTCAGCTCCTTCTGGTCCAGGGTGTCAGGTCCAGGTTGTCCTTGAGGTCCTTTCTGGAAGGTTCCAGTTGTAGGCGTCAGCTCGCCCTAGTTCACGCGCAGGTCCAACAAGTCTACCAACTTCTTCACATACTTCTGGCCCATTCGAACTGTAATGGAACCAAATCCATCTGAAGCAAATCGCCCCTTGAGGAATGCGCACTGCCCTTGAAGTGTCCATTCCTGCTTTCTGAGGCTGTCAAGGAGCTTCTCAACATCTTGTTGACTTCCAACCAGCTGTAGGTCGTCAAAATGTGACCTGCCAACCTTGTAGAAGACTGCTGGGTTTGCAGGATAGGGTTGTAGTCCTTGGTCTCGCGCCACCTTGCCCAAGTGGTCATACATGCCTTGGATCCAACTCGTTGACCAGGCAGGCATCCAAGTTCAAAGAACTCTCCGTTGCGCTCCACATAGACCTTCTCCTCCTGGGGAACCATGAGGTAGGCGTCCTTGACTCTTCTTGGCTCGACTGAACCAAGGCAGCCCATAGTTTCACTCCAATTGCATGGCTCGTAGGGTTGAACAAATTCTCCATCTCCGCCATCTCCTTCAGGCGTGAGATCTCCCTCTCATCTGCCTCCATCTCCAACTGCGCCAGCATCTTGTCCGAGACATCTGGAGGTGCTGCTTCTTCAGACCCCTGCTCCAAGTCCACCTCATTGAGCTCGCCACGTAGATTCCCTTCCGCCAGGTTGGAACTCCTCGTCGGGTGTTCTTCGGAACTGGAAGTGGTTGTCCATAGACACACGCTCCAAAGGTGCCAGCTTCCCTGAGTAGTACCACACAAACAGTGGGTGTGAAGCGGGAATTTCGATTCCACATCCAACACGGAGGCTTTCCAGCAAAGTGTTGCCCAACCTTCTCACGGTCTGAATTGCTCGCTCTGCTGGGTTTGATGCTGACCTGCCTTGAGGTGAAAACTCTTGAGTTGTCTGAAGCTCCAACAGCTTTCTTGCATCAGCAACTGCCTTCATCACTTGTTTCAGTGAAGGTTCTTGGTCACCTTTGATGATCACCTTGTCACCTTGTCATAGTCCCTGACAATGCCACAAATTGCGTTGGCGCACAGGTTCACGCTTGCGCCGCCTTTTGCCTTAATTGGCACAGCCAAAATGGCTTTTGACCAATTGTCCACAGCTACCAAGTGCTTGACTTCAGGGCTTTCCTTGCGAATCGTGGTGTTCGTTGTCATGTAGTCCAAAGCCACTGTGGGACAAACTTGTTCTCGTCGTTCATGACGCTCATTGTCTTTTGACCTTGTTGCTTGGCAGTGTTCACACCACTCTGCAAAAGGAAGGTGTGTAAGCAAATGACGTTCCTTCTCCTCATTTGTTGGGGGCAGGGGAACAACAGCTTGTTGAGGTCGACGCTCCATGCCCCTCTTCTCTTTTCGAGCTGCATCAGGCGCTGCTTTTGCTGCTGTCTCTCTCACTGCCACCTGTAGCCTTTTGAAGACCGCAGCTTTGCTCCCGCTCAAAGGGAATGAATCCAAGGAACTCCCCCGCATCCTTCATCACTTTTCTTGAGCTCTCAGTCGTGAGCTTCAAGCCATTGACCGTCGCGAAGTCGTCTCCAACCTCGTCATAAACCAACTGTTCTGGTTCATGCGGCCCTCCTTGAGGTTCATCAGCCTGCATCTCTTCAGGAACAGGTTCAGCTTCTCCAGGTAGAAGACGTGGTTCAGGAGGTCCTCCAAGTTGTGCATGAAGATATCTTGAAGAAGTTCAGGAGGGATCTGCTGTCCATAGAGCTCCTGAATCTCATGAGGGAAGAGTGCTTTGTGATGCGCCAAAGTCAATGTAAGCTGAAGGAGATTTTTGTTGTGGCCAACGTGAAGCAGCCACTTGTGGCCCTTATGGCTATGGGCAAGTGGATGAAGAAAGGCTGGATGATCCAGAATGTCAAGGACAAGTTCTACCTGCGGCGCAACACCTGACTCTGGGGACAGTCAGCTATGTCATGGACGTTTCTGACGAGCTCAAGGCCATGGCCGAAGAACCTGGCTGGCATGAGCTGAGCGATGGAGCACCTGTTTGGGTGGTCAAGAACGTGTTGACTTTGCAGGACATCTCAAGATGGTATGACCCTCATGAGTTACCTTGCAGGACAACACTGGTGAAGCTGGAGAGTGGCGAGTATGACTGTGTCGAGAGCGCGTAGTTTTGTATAGACAGGAGGATGTCAGAGCTGGATGGGTCGTCCATCAGCAAAAAAGTCATTGCAACTTTCCCTTCAACAGGGATCATTCGTCCTTGAGCGTCTCGAAGCAATGCTCCACCTTGGGTCTTCTTGCCCAAGCTGCCCATGTTCATGGGCACCACACTCACATCTGCACCCAAGTCGAGTACCGTGCCTGGGTGAAGTTGTCCTCCATGCCCCAGTGGTCGTCCATGTCAGTCATGGTGAGGTCAAAGTGCTCAACCATGTCCTCCTCGGTGACCATCATCTCAAAGCCTTCAGTGAAGCTCTCTTCAATGTCGATCTCTCCAACATGGGAGGTGTCTTGATCTCCCAAATCCTTCTCACCGTGCCAGCACTCCTGTATGAAGTGTTGCTGCTTGGTGCCGTGCTTGCCGAAGACGATAAAGTCGTCGTGGAAGGTCATGAGGGTTGCCCTTGCCAACATTCAGCTGCTCTGTGGCCTGTCTTGCCACACACAAAGCAAGCTCCCTTCGACTTGCCCTTGCCTTTGTCTTGGCTCTTGCCGCTTCCTTTTCCTTGGCCCTTCTGGTCAGAAGAGCCCTTGCCTTTGCCTTTGCTCTTGCCTTTGTCACCCTTGCCTTTGGGTGAGCCTTTCTTGCCTTTGCCCTTTCCGTTGTGGTCGCCCTTGATGCGATCCACCTCCATTGGCGCAATCTGGTTGCGCTCGAGGATCTTGGTGCTTGACCAGGCAGCTGTCGATTGCTCGTAGGCCACCATCGATTCTCTCACCTGTGCATAGCGAGTGCCGGGCTTCGCGTTCAGCTGCAAATGCTGTCGCAGCTGTCCAGGGCAACAGCGCATGACCATTGCTATCTTCAAGTTCTCATCCAAGGAGCTTCCTGCCAGCCGCTCGTACTCGCCGACCAGCTTCTCATACTTCATGATCCCTTCAAGGATCTTGGCCTTATCGAACTGCGGAAAGGGTCACCAATGCCTGGATGATTCCAAGCTCTCTCTGCCTTGTCTTGGGCTGGAACCCCCAACAAAGCCCTTGCCAGGCCCGAAAGCCATCAGTCTCAGTGACACTCCGGACGATCCTGAGATTCACGAAGCTCACCAAGTAGGCGTAAAGCTTCTTTGCTCTCTTCTGAACATCCTCCTTGTATTCTATGAGTGGTCTTGCTCCAAGTCCTTCTCCTCACGCTCCAGGTCGTTCATGAACTCCTCAATGACCCTTCAGGCCATGTGGATTGTTCTTCATCCACAGCTTCACCAGGGTGCGAGGATCTTCTCCTTCTAATTGTCTCCCAGCTTCTGAAGTGTCTGGGCACAGATTCTCGTGAATCCATGGAGCTCTGTCACCACTTGCTCCATGCCAGCCATGAGCTTTCAGCTCTTGCTCTTCCTCCAGTGACCTTCACCTTCAAGCAGTCTCTGGCACCGATTGCTCCGCCGCCAGCCACCACCTGCCAGCTGCAGATATGGTGTCAAGGGGCTTGTGAGGATCTGGGTCCTGTCCTCGCGGGATTCGGTCCTGTCCCTGGAACTCACCTGAAACTCACTCGAGCAGCAGCGGCCTCGTAAGGCGTGTTTGGGTCCATCTCAACATGTCCTATGACATGGAGGTATGTGCACATTTTCTCTCACGCACACAATGTTACATTCTGGCATATCTTTTGACTTTCTTTCGGGCATTCTTGCTGGCCATATCTATTGATTGATATTCTTTCTGACACTTTTTCTGGCATATCTTCTGACATTCTTTCTGGCATCTCTTCTGACATTCATTCTTGCATTCTACCTGGCATATCTTCTGACATATCTTCGTCCACATGAAGAAAGGCAGGAACAAGAGAAACTCAATGGCAAATCCGACGTTCCCTTTCATGATAACTCAATACGTGCTGGTTTTTTGGAATAGGCAAACCTTCCTTTGAATGGGTTTCAGTCGGATTCGACTTTGACCAGGAAGTCTACACAGCATCGTTTCTCGTCTCCCCTTTATTAAAGGCGCCTTCTCGCCTGCCAAGAGCCCTGGAAAGGCCAGGTCAGGCAACCTGGCCAACGGCCACCGGTCCAGGCTTGGGAATGTGAGTTGCACACGCGCAAAACCATACCAAACCTTTGACATTCTCATCAAACTTCTCGGGGGGGGTCGATGATCTTGCTCCAACCAGAAACAGGTCCTCCCAACAAAAAAGGGAGATCGGATGGACATCGGAACCGGTCCTAAATGCCCCCGGCCCGGGCCCCGCCCAACGACGAACTCGGTTCTTTCAGAAGTGTCCGGCGCAGATCGGGCGTCTCGCTCGGAACGGCGCCAGGGTTTTCATGCCTGTCGCCCTGCGGTTGTACGTTTCGGGACAGTATCTTGAAAGGATGGGCTGTCCTGTTGCAGATGCGGTCCATCAGTGGTGCAGGACCTTGCCCCGCGGCGTCATGTGGAGGAAGCCATCGATGTGAATTTCTACAAATCAGTGGCCAGTTGGAAACTTGAACAAGTTTCTATGGCACCTGCAGCACCTTACAGTTTTACGCAAACCATTTTAGGAATCCAAACCGGAACATCCAAACCCCGCCATGTTCGTCTTCCCCCTCTCACCGGTCCGGAAAAGAAGCTCCACCAGCTTCGCGCCCCGAAGGTATGAAGAAACGCATGCCAAAGAGACCCGGGCTTCTCACCTGCCGTCGCTGGAGCACGCTACGTCGCTACGTCTGAATGGCAATGGGGCATATATGCAATGCCCGATGCCCAGGTCGCATCCGGGGAACCAAAAAGCGAAAGAATGGACACGCCCAACATGACGCGTCCTATTTCGGCCCCACATGGCTCGCAAGGTGGTCCTAGTGAATGGTGCCATGTGGTGCACGGAATCTTTCTGGGGAAAGGGAAGACTGTGGCGAAAAACCTAGGAACGGCGGCAGCCCAGCAAACAAGCTGGGGGCCTTTTTACCCATCGGGTCAGTGAGGAGGCTTCAGCTGCAAGAGCCCTCCCAACACGGTTTGAAATAGAAACAGTTATCCCGGCAAGAGACCCCAAACAGTTTGTGTGTGAGGTCTAGAGGTGTAGAAGCAGAAAGTCTAGAGATCTAGACGCGTTGGGATGGTGGTGATGAAGGTGGAGATCGTGGTGATGGTGCAGGTGGGTGAGTGAGTGCACGAGTGATTGTGAGCGTGTGTGAGTGTGAGCGTGTGTGAGTGCGCGTGTGAGTGAGAGTGAGCATCTGAGAGCACAAAGTGCTGCGCCTGCCACGAAACCTGCACTTCAAGATTCACATGCGCCCCTGACAAGGCATTTTGCCGCAAGAGCGCTTCCTAAGACAACATCAAGATACCCAAACGCAGCTTTCGCGCGAGACTTCCCCCGATTCTGAAAACGAATCTGAAACACGTGTCCAAAACTCACGACTCACTGCCCCTGTCATGAAATTAGAGCGCGTCGAAGATCTGCCATGTCCAAAGTGCTGCGCCTGCCACGAGATCTGCATTTCGAAGTAAAGCCGCGACCAAGACACGAGGTTTCCCTTGCGCCTACCGCGAAAGTGACCACCATGTCCGAAAATGCGCGCGGCACCACAACGAGAGCACAGTCGCGACAAGCACCCTCCGCGCCCCACCAGATTCTGCGAGCCTGCGCAGTCGAAATGCACTTCAAAGATTTCGAGGCATGAATGTACTGTACATAAGCGACCTAGCCGCGCACGCCCGCGCGACACCTCGATTAGACACCGGCTTTAGACTTACCGTAAGAACCCCTAGTGACCACGCTATTTGGGGAATCTTCCTTTGAGTTACTAATGGGAATAGCATCTAACCGAATGGCGATGGCCTCTACCCTAGAAGCAACCTACTAGTTGGTTAGAGGTCCAGTTCCACAATCTTTGGTACCAAAGTGTTCAGGAAATTCATGGCTCGCGTGATATCAAAAAGACACATCTTTCAAAAGAAGTCGACTTGACTCCCCCGCGAATAATTGGTTTTCAAGGGCAACGTGGAAAGGCCGTGTGTCATGGTTTCACCATGTTTCAGGGCACGGCCAGTAGCAAGAAGCTACGTTCGTAGCAATTTGCTATACTAGTAGTAACGGCCCCTGTTACGTTCGTAGCTTCTAACACCTCTTCGACGCATGGCTGAAATTTCTCAACCTTCGACTGGCATTCGGCACCGGACCTGAGGAGCTAAGCAGCGAACATCGAGGTTAGACATCAAACGGTACCAATTGGTGCCTTCACGCTTCTTGTTACGTTCGTAGCTACTTGCTCCTAATAGTACGGCCAGGAGCTCCTTGTAGCGACGCCAGGAGCCCCGCAGGAGCCCCTAGTAGCTACCTGCTACCCCTCGAACCAAGACATCAAACCCTTTGATGATCGGCTTCCCCATGGATGTCGGGCCTGCCACTTGGATGTCGGGCCTGGAGGGCGGGCGCCAGCCGTCCAGAGCTGCGAGACTGAGAGGGGCCAGGAGCTACCAGCAGCCTCTTGCTATTAGCAGCGATGCCCTTTGCTCCTAGTAGCTTCTTGCTCCTAGTAGTAAGGCCAGGAGCCCCGAACGTAGCGTTTTCGACGTGGGAACTGGTGGACTGGGTGGTTTGTGGCGGCGCCGTTGTCCGATGTGCCATGCAGGATTGCTTCGGTGTGACGCGGTCCTGGCGACACAACCTAAGAGCGATGACCTCCAACCCGAAGAGCAATGGCCTCCAACCTACTAGCGATGGCCTCCAACCTAAGAGCGATGACCTCCAACCTAAGAGCCATGGCCTCCAACCTACTAGCGATGGCCGCCAACCCAAGAGCGATGACCTCCAACCTAGAAGCAACGGCCTCCAGCCTAGAAGCGATGGCCGCCAACCTTAAATTTTTTTGGAGTCTGCTTAACCATACTCTTCGCCGAACATCTCTACCTTTCGCGGCGTCTTTTTTCCCGAGATATCGCTATACAGTCTTGATCTCTTACGTACAGAACTAAATGTTAAGTTGCCTCACAATCTAGGAACCAAATCATTAGCGCGAGCTATCCTGCATCCTGTCAGCAGTAGCTACTTGTAGGTACTAGCTACGGCCTCCCCCTGCGCGCGCGCGCGCGAAAAAGCTCCTACGACAGCCATTCCTTCCTCTATCTAGCTACTACCTAGCTACTAGCTACCTACCTCTACGGCTTACAAAAAAAGAAAGAGTCTCTCTCTCTCTATATATATATAAACAATCTTCTCGTAATCTCGTAGAGAACTTTTTGAGTGCATTCAGCTGTCTTCCATTCCGCCCCAAAGAGCCTTGATTTTTCCACCACGCTTGGAAACCCAGTTCTAACTAGAAACAAAAAGACCTCAATTCCCCAGTTCCAGCCAGTTTGTATGCAAAAGCCTATAATTTCCATGTTGGAACGAAAAGGACACCACATGGACTCCCACAGATCGTCTCCGCAGAAAACAGGGCTTGGCATGCGTCATCACCCCAGTCTGCTATCTTTTGGTGGGTATTCTTCACTCAGGTTCCTTCGAGAGATCCGGACCAAAGATATGAAGCAAACCAGCTTCCAACCAGTATGCTCATTCGTAGTTTCGATCAATACGCGAAATGCACCTTTGGTTCGTCTGCGCGAAAAGCTTTGGAATTAAACTTCTCGACTCCAGCATCCCCTGCTCTTCTTCTGATCGAAGGAAAAACGTAAGTTCATGATACGTTCGGGATTGCTTCTTAATTTCCAAACGTCCATTGATGAGATCACTTCGCTGATTCGAACATCCCTCCCATCTCAGTTGCCCTGAGCTGCAGGCTTGGCGTAGCCTCACAGTGGCTAAGTTGCTACAAGAAATTATAGGCATCAAAATCGAAAGAGGAGACAAAACAAGCAACAAAGAACCCCTATACTACTCACACCTTGTCTCCCACCCGAAAACATAGAAAGCAGGTTTTTTCTTGATTCGCCATGATTTGACCTTCCCAAAGCACTCTTGTGACAAGCCTTGATTGCCCTTGGGCCCAAAGCCTTGGGATTTTTGTTTATCGCTCTTTGCAAACAACATTGTACGGCATTGCCGTGCCCAAACACTTGCCATGACCGTGTCGCTTAGCATCCAAGGAAGTGTTGAACTGAAAAGCTCCAGTTCAGTCCAGTTCAGCACTGTCAGGGCTCTTGTTGCTTGAGCAATGAAAGCTGGATACAGTCACTCAATGATCAACACACTGTGTGAACATGGCAACAGCAACAACATACTTCGCGTGATTGAGGTCCCAGGAAAAAAAATGGACCCTAAAACGCCGAGAGCTGGAACCGGAACCTCTCACTGAAAGTGTTCCAAATCACCTTTTCGACCGGTCATGACTGCCCACGCACTTGGCTGAAATCTTCTCCCAATTGTTACTAGTAGCGTCTTGTTACTAGTAATGCCAGGAGCTACTAGTAGCGATGGCTTACAACCAATTTTCGATGGCCTCCACCCTAATAGCAATGGCCTCCATCCAGTTAGCGAGGCCCTTTGCTCTTATAGTAGCGTTCTTGTAAGGCCAGGAGCCCTCGAACCTAGCGTCTGATCGCTACGATCGCTTCTCGCTACGCCTCCACGGCATTGTCCCCGCCTGGCAGCGGGACTGCCTGTGCCGTCGGTGTCCCGGGTGGGAGCGGTGCAGCCGCAGACAGGGGCGTAGCCACCACCACGGCTGCCGGTGTGGGCGGTGCCAGGGAGGCGGTGACGGCATCCTGGGAGAGGCTGGAGGCCGCTCTTAGGTTGGAGGCCATTGCTATTCGGCTCAAAATACAAGGTGAATTCTTTTTCAATCGTTTTCCCCAAGATCTTCACCCAAAGATCGCCACACCGGTCTAGACCATCCAGACCAGCGAACGCTCCTCGGCCGTGCTGTGGGGCCTTGGCGCGCAGATTCCGCGCGGTCCGCCCGGTTTGTTTCGGTTCCAGCGAAGGAAGGGTTTCGGTTTGTTTCGGTCCAAATTTTGAGTTCGTCCAATGTTGGGTGCAATTCAAATGCAATTGAAGTGTAGGTTGGAGGCTATCGCTATTAGGTTCCTTTTGGTTTAGTGGTATTTTCTTGTTCTTCTTTGAATTTCTCTTATCCATAATTGCAGAAGAACGATGGCATCGTAGGACCTTGGATCAAACTTCTTTGACCTTGTTTGTCTTGTCTCCCTGGATCTTCTAGGGGTCCGTCACCATGTCTGTCCTTAGAGGTTCTCTGATGGCTTTCCGTTTCACTTCTCTCTTCTTTATCTCCTTGGATGACGGAACCATGCCAACCGTTGTGTCTGAACCCGTGCGCGCACTTGTGAACTGGATGAATCAGTCAACCATTACCAACACCAGGCCACCCTGGAAAAACACAACGAATATGAAAGGTTGGCGCGCCACAACCGGCGTGCCCGAGCGAGTGACGACCCCCGCGCTGCACGGAGGAGCTCTGGGTGGGCCCAACGTGCCAAGGCTAAGTCCAGCCCTGAGCCCTTCTGCCTTTGCCTCAGGTGATTGAAGGAGAAGACTGGAGCCAAGTCGTTGAAAGAGCTCGAAAAACAACTCGAGAAATTACAGAAATGACATCTTTTCCAAGCAAGTACTGGAGGAGGAACAAATATTGACCTGCCCCGTCTGATGATCCTAAGTATGAACTTTTTGGCTCCGCGAGCATGGACTTTCAAAGCAAACCCCACTTTCAATTCAACCTCCTAGCGGTGGCCTCCAACCTAGTAAGTGATGGCCTCCACCAGGGCGAGTTCTCGTTCTTTCCGGAGAAGACTGGAGCCAAGTCGCTGAACGAACTCCAAAAGACAGAACGAGGAATTCGCGGAAATCAGAAAGGAGGTCCTTGCCTTGTTGCTTGCCGTGTTCTTCCCCAGATAGCGACGCTATGAGGTTCTTACTTCAATTCGCAATGAGTTGCCCGTGCGCGCTTTCGAGACAGATTGCTGGTGCTGGGCACCGGGCGCCGGTACTGGGTGCCGGGTGCTGTGAGCTGGCTGTGCACGTGGCGGAGACAGGTTGATGGTGCTGGTGCCGGGTGCCGGCGCTGGTGCTGT